GTCAGTTTGCGGACCAACCTCATGATGGTTAATGAGGAGGACCGTCCTTTGTTAATGATCTCGCAAGCTGCTGAGTTGTCAGAGTAGCATTTGACTGCCTTACCGGTCCAGAGATGACCCCAGGTATAGGCAGCTGCAACGATGGGGTAAATCTCAAACAAGGCAGATGTTTCTCTAAAGGCCGGCAAGACAGTCTCCGCGGGTCAGTTGTCCCTAAACCAGTGGTAGCCAAATATTGTGGCGAACCCTGTGTGTGCTGCTGTGTCAGTGTAAAGTATTGGAGAGTGGTCGGATAGTGGGGGAATGAACAGGGAGCTCCATTCCACTCCAACATGAAATTCCTCCACATGAGCAAGTCTGCCCTGGCAGGTGCGTTTAAGGTAATAGTACCAGTGTCGGGTACCCCGTGTAGGAGACACAGCAGCTTTGAGACGAATGATCTGCCCTGTGGAATGATCCGTACAGCGAAGTTAAGGGACCCCAATAAAGATTGGAGTCCTTTCCTAGTGCACGTATCACTCCGAGGGAACAGATCGACTTTGTCTCTAACTCGGACCAATTTCTCTTGTGGGAGGCTAGCTTGGAATTAAACTGTGTCCAGAGCAATACCCAGACAGACTAGTTTGGTGGAGGGCCCCAGTGTTTTGTTTGGGGACAGGGGCACCCCCAGTGATGTGAAGAGGGTTGTGGTGCTGTGAATGCTGCTAGGTGGGTGGGAGCCTGTTTCTATCAACAGAAAATCGTCTAAATAGTGAATAACTGATGGACACCTGACTATATTCAGGAGCAGCCAGCAGAGGGTTTCAGCGAAGATGTCAAATAGCTTAGGGCTGCCCCTAGAACCGAAAGTGAGTTGTGTAGCAAAATAGTATCTGCCCCTCCATTTTACGCCATGTAAGTGCCACAGTGACAGGTCAATAGATAACAGCTTGAAAGCATTTGTGAAATCTGTTTTACTCAGCCATGCTTTGCTGCCTGCTATGATGATGGCTTGCATGGCATTGTCAATCGTGGCATACTGTAGTGAAAACTCTTCAGCGGGTATGAATGAGTTAATGCTGTGGGTGTGTGAAGAATGAGGAGCTGTCATATCGATTATTAAGCGTTTTTTATTGGTGTACCCGTTTACAGCTACCCCAAGGGGGTAGAAGAAGAAGGACGGGAAGGGGGGTTCTGAAAAAGGGCCGATCATGAAACCGGCCTGGGTTTCTGTGGATAGGAGGTAGTCATTAGAGGCTGATAACAGATTTGGGCATCCTAAGGTGCCTGTGGGGATGGCAATGAGACCTGTGTGGAAACCCTGTTACCAAAAAATATGGCGAGGTGAGAACAGAGCTAGTAGGCCACATCTATATTAACCTCAGTCAGTTCTTGGGGGAAAGCCTGGCTGGGGACATGGTCTTAGTGTGAGCTCTGAAGCAAATGGAGCAGATGTGCAGCAGCCTGCATGTGCTGTAGCTGCAGGCGCCAGCATTGAAATTGTTGTACACCTGTGCCTTGCCCAGAAACACAATGGGTCTGCCCAGTTTGTCCCTCTGCCCGCTCTCTTGCCTTGTGTTGGGTCTGAAGGTGTGGTGGGAAGAGGAGGGATCTGCCTTACAGGGGCACAAATCAGTGGAATGAGACGTGGAACTACATGCTGCACAGGACAGGGGCCTTAAGCCGGCAAAGTGTCAGCAGAACAACTCTGTGTCCATCTGGCACCAGTCTATCCGGATGTTATATTGGGCCAGATGAATTGCTGAGTTGCCGAGGTCATCATTAGGGATAGATTCTTGTGACATCCTGTAAAAAGGAACAACGATTAGTAGAGTAGGGGGGGAAGAACAAGACATTCGCAGAACTGGCTTGCTGACTAGTGCCGAGGCAAAAAAATTAATTACAGCAACGTGACAGGTGAGGCCCTGCTGATGCCAAGTGGCGGTGAGAGGCTCTACTTATGATTTGGACCGTGGGGGGTCGTGGCCACTAGACGTAGTGGCGGGATGTTGGCCTCTTGATGACAGTAAAAGATTCAAATGCGTGTGGTCGTGACTTGTGAAGTCCTGACTGTAGCCCTAAAGAAAGGAGAGCGAAGCGACTAACTATGATTTGGGCCATTGGGCGAACCTCCGTGGTGAGGCGGGGTAGGCCCCGTGGGACCGATATTTTTTATTTTGGGTTGCTAAGGCCTGCACCTATTTCTATGAGCCAGTTCTCTAGCCCTGGTTGGGCTTGTCTCCTAACTGGTGAACGTAAACATGTGGATACTAACCTTAAGGTTTTAACTTTGATCTAGAGAGTGATGAAATGCTTCGAAGATAGAGTAGTAAGGGCTTATGAGTAGTACTGGTCCAGCCAGTATCCTAAGGGTAAGATAGATGCTAGTGGGCTTTGAGCATGCAAATAGTATGTACAGGGTTTGTGAGAGTAGACAAAACAAGCAGTGTAATGAATGGTTATACACTATGTAAAGATAACGTATGGATACGTGTATGGTGAGGGACCTGAAAGTTGGTCCATACTTAGAGACAAGCCCCTGATTACAATTTTGGGGGAACGTAATGAGGGAAGGCTGAGTGAGGCCTTGAGAAGATGAGGTAATCGTAGCGAGTAAGATTGTAATACCTGGTACTGAATACCAGGATACCAGGTTGAGAGTCCGTATTTGTATGCGTAGCAATGCGAGGAGCCTGAAATTATGACACAGAGCTAAGTAACGTAAATGGGAACAACAGATAATGCGATGAACAGTCATTTATTTGGTGCAGAAAACGTATAGATAGGTGCATTGTGGGGGACCTGACCGTTGGTCCATGCATGGAGACAGACTTCTAGATACCCAACAGGAGGGAGGGGGAGGGGGGTACATAACCAGGGGAGGCTGAGTGAGGGCTAGAGGATATGATAAAATGTAACGAGTAAGATAACAATACCTGTTACTGTATGACAGGACACAAGGTTGACAATCCACGTTTGTATGCTTGATGATTTATGGAGCCTAAAATCATGACATAAAGCTAAGTAACGTATAATAGAGAAACTACTGAGAGATATGATTGTGTGACCATGGTGAAAAGAAGGGGGAAAAGACCCTACTGCCATTACATTGAGTGATGTTAACTGTGAACGTGGTGATTTAATTTGACGTGAAAACCATGAGAAAGAAAAGCATGCTTGGACTGAGAAAATGTGCATAATTTCTCATGACAGAAATATACCTTTAAGACTAACTAGAGAAGATTAAATGTTGTGGTCTCAGGTGCGGGGGAGGGGAGGTAAAAAGTGTTACTAAGGCCAGGGCATTGGCGTAACCTGAAAGATATTTAAACATTGATAAATAGATTGGGGTAGAAGTGAAAAAGTGATTGGTCCTTTAAATTTTTTGAGAGGACATAGAGTGAATACATGCAGCTTATAACCATACGAATTAACTGACGAAATTATAAATGAACTGATTTACCCGAAAGGCTAGCTGAATCAATGTGATGGACAAGCAATTAGCAAGTTTACGAATAAAATTAGACGAAATATGTGAAAGACCGTTACGCTAAGAGCTTGGACCATTCGTATGAACAAACGGTATGGTATGAACGAATGGTATAGTAAGGTATTATCAACTGAACAGGGATATTGTGTGAATTATAACAGGCAGCGGTCGACAAATTTGCTGCACGAACAGATGAAACTACACGAACGGATAAGTAAGCATAAGAAGGGAGCCTATCCCCACGTTTTTAGGCCCGAATGTGGGAAATAACCGATCGTTGTTTCCCACGTGGCACTTACGTGTACGTGCTGGGTTTCGTGAACGGAAGCCGGGTAAAGCGTCTGTGGAGAGGCCGGGCAGAAGGACCGGAGGTCAGAGGCAGTGGATAATGCAGCAACAGAACTTTTTGGTGGGTATCTCGGATAGGAAGTGCTGGTTGCTTTGAGGAGTCAATCAGCATGAACGGCAAAGGTGAGTAAGGGCTCAGCGTTTAAGTAGGAGACATAACTCCTTCCACAAATACAGGCCTAATGGCCTTTTAACATATAAACATGGCAGATATAGTAACCCAATATATATATATAAACATGGCAGATACAGTAACCCTATATCTGCATGTTTATATATGTACTCTTAATATACATATATAAACATGGCGGATATAGTAACCCAATATATATATATAAACATGGCAGATACAGTAACCCTATATCTGCATGTTTATATATGTACTCTTAATATACATATATAAACATGGCAGATATAGTAACCCTATATATATTGAAAATTTAATATTTTGCTAGCTGGGGTGGGTAGGAGTTATGGGAAAGTGGGCAATTTACTGTTAGTGCTGCTTACTGCTAGTTAGGGGTTAACGGTAAAAAAAGTTTATAAAAAATTTTAAGTATTAAAAAAGTTTCAAAATTTATTAAGTAAAAGTTTAAAAACGAGTTTTAAAAAGTAAAAAAAGTTTTAAAAAGTAAAAAAAATACATAAAAAATGCTCATTACCACTATACCTGGAACATACTGGCGAAAAAATGATCCTACGCTAAGGTTCAAAATATGCCTTTTGAATTACCCCGGGGTGTATTCTTTAATAAATAGTATGTGTTTGTGGGGAAGTTTGAATAACCAGCCAGTTAAACTACTCCAAAATGGAACATGGACACAGTGTAAAAATGTAAAGTTTGAAAAAAACTGGAAAGGCTGTGTCTCAAATGTGCCCCTTCAATGTCCACATATACCTGGCATAGGTACATACGGGGGTATTGCTGTACTCAGTCGACATAGCTGAGCAACATATGAAGTATTATACAGTCATAGCACGCATAAGGTTTGCAAAATATACTGTGCAAACTCACTTTGTGTGTCAAAAAGGCAGAAAAAGTGGTTATTACCACTACACTTGGTACAAGCTAGCGGAAATATTATCCCACGCTAAGGTTCAAAATATGCCTTTTGAAATACCCTGGGATGTCTTCTTTAAGAAATTGTATGTCTTAGGGGGCGGAGCTTAACCACGGAGCCGAATGGACGCCATCATCCACAGCTCCCCGGCACCAAGACATAATCTGCCGCGCATCTCAGGTAGGGGGGGCCATCGACCCGCGGGACCCACAGCTACGATCCCAGGGCTCCCAGGGCTGCCCACCGATGCCCTTTTTATACCCACAATCGGGCAAAAACGAGTCCGCAAATCCCGGGCCTACCTCGCTCTCCCGCCGGCATCGCAGCTACCCGCGGGGATCCCCCTGAGCCTGGAGGACTGGTGCGGACAGCGGGCAGGTCACCACTCACCCGACAACGATATGGGGAGGCGAACACAGAAGCCACAACAGGCAGCACCTAGGGACTCCCAAGATATTGGGACTCTGCTGCAACGCACAGCAGGCCACAAAATGGCGGCCGAACAAGACCAGGAAACTGGCCCCACACACTCAGTACAGCTGTCCCAGGGAAGCAGCACAGACATGAGAGCTGAAGCCCCCAGCAGCCCACAAGCAGAGGGGGATGACTCAGCCCCAGCCACAAAAAGGGACATCAGACTCCTATTACAGGAGATGAAAGGGCTGTTTGACACCGACATCAACCTAATTCACACAGAAACGCAGGCGGTGACGGCAAGAGTACAGGCCTCTGAAGAAGACATACTAGACCTCCGACAGGAGGTGAAAAGCATGGGGGACGCCCTAAAACATTTACAGACAGCGAACTCAGCGCTCCAAAACACGCTAGACGCCATGGAAGATCGCAACAGACACACACATATTAAGATTCGGGGTATCCCTGATGCAGTGGGACCATCCGAATTACCACAGTACCTGAGGAGACTCACGGCCACAATACTGCCACATACACAAGCCAAAAAGCTGGAATTTGACAGCCACTTCCGCATTAACAAAGCAAAAAGGGCACCCACAACGGCCCCAAGGGACGTCATCGTCCGCTGCCATTCTATGACAGACAAACGCCGCATACTAGCAGCAGTGAGAGACAAGACACCCTTGGCCTTCGAAGCCTCACGACTTACCTTCTTCCAAGATATCACGCGGAGCACCCTACTCTGGAGAAAGTCCTTGAGCAACATAACGGAACAACTGCAGAAGGGGAACGTAGAATACAGATGGCTGTTGCCAAGAACCCTGGCGGTATTCAGCGGAGACGAGGTTCTAAAACTCACCTCACTCTCGGAGGCCCCAGCGCTTCTCCAAAAATTGGGACTAACTCAGAATGCCCCAACACCAGGACCAACGCAAGCCACCCACTCATGGGACCCGGACAGAATAGTACCATACGTCCCCAGGGGCAACAAGAGACCGGAGGCAGAGACCTGAACACCTCAAACTGTTTACCTCTTAATTTCCATGCTCTGATATTCTCTCCTCTTCTCTGATCTCACCCTATTGCTCTACCAAAATACGTCATTCTACTAATAACTCCCCATACAAAGTCGGAGACGAACTCCCAACCCCCGCGACCCTCTTAGGTTAAGGGCCAACACTACCTATTAACCCAAGCATAGCAAGCACGACACAAAACCCACACTCAGGCACAGACAGACGCACATATACAACTTTCACCGACGACGAACAACAGCACTTTACAATCACCAACACCCTCCCTCAAACAACAGAGAGGAGTGCCACTTAACCACTCACAGGACCCAAGCAACATAGACACAATCACTCACAACCAGTTCACCCTACGGGAGCCTACCGCATGGGCACACTCGACACATTAGAAAACCAGAAAAAGTGCAGAAACATGACCACAAGTTCTTCCTGACTACTAGGACGCAGGCTAATTCCTCCGACCATAGAACAAAAAGACACACACTATATACTTGCTGCCAATCCTATGCTCCTGATATGCTATAATTGTAAAACGTATAGACTGATCCAGACCCTTGACAAAACAATTGTTATTTATTAATATGCCTATGTTGAAAAGGCAGCTCAAGTATTTTATGCTTTGTCACATTTCTCAATGCACAGAAAATAAAGAATTAAAAAAAAAGAAAAAAAAAGAAATTGTATGTCTTTATGGTGTAGCTGGAATATGTAGACTGCTCAAGTGCTCCAAAGTGGGACACGGACGCATCAAAACCCTCCATGAAAATTCACACTTAAAAACATGAATTTGTCATGTCTCTTTTACAGCACTGTAACTTCACAAAATAGTGTCTAGGTCAGGGGTAGTCAGCCTGGTCCCTACTGCCCACTAGTGGGCGGTTTGTGATATCAGGTGGGCATTGGCGGGTTCTGCAGAAAACACCCAGTGGGCCCAGATGGCTGTGGACCAAGGCTGGCAGGGGAGATCCTTTCATCTCTGCTGCTGGCACATACAGAGCCAGCCTTGCTGTAAGTTTTCTCGGGCTGGTAAGGAGATCAAAGAACTCCCTCAAAATCCAGCTGGCACTTAGTTTGAGGGAAGGGCCTGGGAGTCTCTGTTTTCCCCCCATGAGCAGGCTGGTTGGAGCGCTGCATCGTGTTACCATGGCAACGCTCTGATACAGTGTTGTGCTCGCAGTAGGAGCTGTAGGCTAAAGTGAACATGCCACCACTGGTACACCAGGGCTTGCAGCATTATGTTCCCGCTCCCTGGTAAAAGGTAAGAAGAAGGGAGGGGGAGACATTAAGATATATTTTCACATCTACCAACAGCATAGACCCTATGCACCCGCTCACACACACACATGCACTGCCCCCTCACACACACACACACACGCGCACTGCCCCCCTCACACATGCTGCACCTCTCACACTACACCCTTCACACACACACACAGCACCTCCCTGGAAAAAAAGTAGAATAGAAAATAGACAAAAAGGGGAAAAATAGATAAATTTAAATACTTTTTTTTTAACTCCTTTCTAAAACAAATTTTGGAAAAAAAAAATCGCACTTGCGCTATAGAATTAGTTACTGCAGCCATGGTGGGCGGTAAGGAAATTTTACCATCAACAAAGATACAGACGTGGGTGGTAGGTATTAAAAGGTTGACTACCCCTTGTCTAGGTCATACATTGGGTATATTGTTTTACTGAGAAGATGTAACTGAGCATAATTTGTTTTTTTATGACAATGGTGAATATCAAGTGTAAGAAATATATAAATGCAACATATATGTAAAAATGCCATTTTGTTTCCCCTCACCACAAACATTGACATAAATTGGTGAAAGAATGGTGACAAGTTAAGGCACAATATACAGCATATAAGATACCCTGGGGTGTCTGCTTTATCAAATGGAAGCCCTTTGTGGGGTTATTTTAACAGTCACACTGCTATAATACCCCCAAATGAGATAGAGGCCCATTAAATCCATCTATGAAAATTCCAACTATAGAAACTGAAATAGCCTTGTCTCATATATGGCATTGTAGCTTCACAGAATAGGGGCAAAGGTATACAATGGGGGTATCGTTATACTCAGCAGATGTAGCTGAACACAATATGGGGTTCTGCACAGGAATAGCACACACCAGCTTTACGAAATACACATTACAAAAACCTTGCTATATGTGTATATGCCAAAATAGAGAAAAAAACAAATTTTACTCCAATATTTAGCAGAGATTGGCGATGAAATGGCTACGCAAAAAGTGTCAAACTAACCTTAGGTAAATAGCCTGTGAGGTCTACTTTATATAAATATATACTTTTGTGTGGCAATTTTGTTTTCTGTAATGGGTATTAAACTTCCAAGACAAACATACCAAATTCTAAAATTGAGATTTTATTGTAGTCCTTGTATTGTGTGACCTGTAACTTTCAAAATAAGCTGAAATCATACACATATTATGCACTCTGTAAATCAAGACACATAAATCAACTAATTTTGAATTACTTTTTCTAAGCTGGATATATTATGCACACGCTATTATTGCGAAAACTGTGAGAAAAAATCCCCCCCCCTCCCCGCCATTTTTTGTTTGTAATTAATGAGAATGTATCTATGGATATGTTATACGCATGCGCACTACCTTCAGTTACCTCCCTGCTCAATCACTCTGCGCATGCGCGCGTTTCCCGCTTACTCCAGCCTTTGTTGAATGGATGTGGCTAGCCCCGCCCCTCCTGCTGAATCACTCTGCGCATGCGCGTGTTCCCCGCTTCCTGTCAGTCGTTGAATGGATGCGCCTAGCTCCGCCCCTCCTGCTGAATCACTCTGCGCATGCGCGTGTTCCCCGCTTCCTCTGTCAGTCGTTCAATGGATGCGGCTAGCCCCGCCCCTCCTGCTCAATCACTCTGCGCATGCGCGCGTTTCCCGCTTACTCCAGCCGTCGTTGAATGGATGTGGCTAGCCCCGCCCCTCCTGCTGAATCACTCTGCGCATGCGCGTGTTCCCCGCTTCCTCTGTCAGTCGTTGAATGGATGCGGCTAGCCCCGCCCCTCCTGCTGAATCACTCTGCGCATGCGCGCGTTTCCCGCTTCCTCTATCCGTCGTTGAATGGATGCGGCTAGCCCCGCCCCTCCTGCTGAATCACTCTGCGCATGCGCCTTCTCCCGGCTCTCGCGCAATTACAAAATGGCCGCCTGAAACCGCTTCCCGCGCTCTGCCCCTGGTTACCTGGAGATGGTCGGCCTCTGACAGGACTGTGACAGAGGGAATCACCGCACGGCGAGCCAGTGACCGGGACAGCGAGGTAAACATGGGGAGAGACCAAGCCGAGCGAGGTAATTATAGGGAGACACCGGGCCGGGCGGCCACACACAGCCTCACCGTACAGACATACACACAGACACACAGCCTCACCGTACAGACATACACACAGACACACAGCCTCACCGTACAGACATACACACAGACACACAGCCTCACCGTACAGACATACACACAGCCTCACCGTACAGACAGACACACAGACACAGACACACAGCCTCACCGTACAGACAGACACACATACACAGCCTCACCGTACAGACAGACACATATACACAGCCTCACCGTACAGACACACACATACACAGCCTCACCGTACAGACATCCCCCCCATACTGAGGGCCCAGACCTGTGTGAACATCCCTCCCCATACTGAGGGCCCAGATCAGTGTGAACATCCCTCCCATACTGAGGGCCCAGACCTGTGTGAACATCCCCTCCCCATACTGAGGGCCCAGACCTGTGTGAACATCCCCCCTCCCATACTGAGGGCCCCAGACCTGTGTGAACATCCCCCCCCATACTGAGGGGCCTGAGACCTGTGTGAACATCCCTCCCATACTGAGGGGCCCAGACCTGTGTGAACATCCCCCCTCCCCATACTGAGGGCCCAGACCTGTGTGAACGCCCCATCCCCCATACTGAGGGCCCAGACCTGTGTGAACATCCCCCCCCCCCCCCATACTCCCCATACTGAGGGCCCAGACCTGTGTGAACATCCCCCCCCTCACCATACTGAGGGGCCCAGACCTGTGTGAACATCCCCCCCCTCCCCATACTGAGGTCCCAGACCTGTGTGAACATCTCCCCACCCACCCCCATACTGAGGGGCCCAGACCTGTGTGAACATCTCCCCCTCCCCATACTGAGGGCCCAGACCAGTGTGAACATCCCCCTCCCCCACATGCAGGGCCCAGACCTGCAATGTGAACATCCACCCCTCCCCATACTGAGGGCCCAGATCTGTGTGAACATCCCCCTCCCCATACTGAGGGGCCCAGACCTGTGTAGA